CCCAGACCCAGATCAGGGCATCAGTGAGCTCCTGGACAGTCTGTGGTGCTACTTGGTGGCTTCGGATGCTCCGTTACATAACGTCCCAGAGGTTCTCAATTGGATTCGGGTCTGGGGAACGTGAGGGCCAGTCAATGGCATCAATGCCTTCGTCATCCAGAAACTGCCTACACACTCTGGCCACATGAGGCCGGGCATTGTCATGCACCAGGAGGAACCCAGGGCCCACTGTGTTATTTTTTGTTTTATTAACCAGCACCAGCATAAGGTCTGACAATGGCTCTGAGGATTTCATCTCGGTACCTAACAGCAGTAAGGGTACCATTGGCTAGCATGTGGAGGTCTGTGAAACCCTCCAAGGATATTCCTCCCCAGACCATCACTGACCCACCGTGAAACCGGTCTTGCTGGATGATGTTGCGGGTAGCATAACATTCCCCACGGCATCTCCAGACTCTTTCACGTCTGTCACATATGCTCAGTGTGAACTTGCTCTCATCTGTGAAGAGAACGGGGCGCCAATGGTGGACCTGTCAATTCTGGTGTTCTCTGGCAAATGCCAATCGAGCTGCACGGTGCTGGGCTGTGAGCACAGGTCCCACTAGAGGACATCAGGCCCTCATGCCACCCTCATGGAGTCTGTTTCTGACAGTTTGGTCAGAAACATGCACACCAGTAGCCTGCTGGAAGTCATTTTGTAGGGCTCTGGCAGTGCTCCTCCTGTTCCTCCTTGCACAGTCCCTCCTGTTCCTCCTTGCACAGTCCCTGCTGCTGGGTTGCTGCTGGGTTGCTGCCCTTCTACGGCCCTGTCCAGCTCTCCTCATGTAATGGCCCGTCTCCTGGTATCTCCGCCATGCTCTTGAAACTGTGCTGGGAGACACACCAAACCTCCTTGCGACGGCACGTATGGATGTGCCATCCTAGAGGAGCTGGACTACCTGTGCAACCTGATTGGGTTGCAGGTACTGCCTCATGCTACAAGTAGTGACAAGGACCCTAACAAAACACAAAACTAGAGACAAATCATTCAGGAAGGATAAGGAGAGAGCAACTGTCTGTGGCCATCACCTGCAAAACCATTCCCTTTTTAGGGGTTGTCTTGCTGTCGCCTCCCCAGTGCACCTTGTCACTTTCATTTGCACCAAAGCAGGTAAAACTGATTCACAATCACTTATGCTTCCTAACTGGACAGATTGATATCCCTGAAGTTTAATTGACTTGGTGTTATACTGTAATGATTAAGTGTTCCCTTATTTTTTTGAGCAGTACATTTAAATGGTGATGATGTATTGATATGACGACAAACTAGGATTAGGAACTGAAAAGTGTTACGTGGCTAACATTATGCAGCAGGGATACAGATCCGTGATTCTCAGGGTGTTTTTTTGTGAAACCACAGAGTCCAAGTGTCTGCAATTCTATACATCATCATTATTTTTAATGATTGAAGGTGATCACTATCAGCTACTATTATTAATGTCATTACAGCTGTCATAGTTATTATTTTATAATACTAGTGTATGTCAGCTGGCTTGTGTCAATTTGAATTGAACTGCAATTTACAATAAAACTAGGAAATGTTCTGTTCACAAGATACAAAATATTTTGAATCTGCATTCTAACACAGTGCAACTAGTTTAGGTTCTAATTGTTCTGATAAATAAATATGATGGTGTATATTTGCCTAATGTGCCAATAGTTAAATAGTCGGATTTAGTTGGCTTATATTTCTTATTCTTCATAACAGGTTTATGTTTAGTCTCTAAATGTGTCTAAGGGTGATAACACTCCTCAACACTCAAATAAACACTGAGTATCTGAACATCAATACAGGCTCCTGACTCTTACCGATAATTTCTCGGCACGGATTTTCAGGTGTGATGGGAACTCTGCAGGTGGGACACTGACTGCACTTCTGAAGCCAAAGCTCAATGCAGGCTGCACAGAACACATGGTGGTTACAGCAGATCATCGGCTTACGGACCTGCGCACACGGGACAAGACAAAAGGTCAGTAAGATGAGGGCTTACAGGATAGAGAGGATGTGGTCAGGGACATAATGCATATATGGATAGTGCTAAGACTGTCCGGGCACATTCTCAGAATATGGTGACTTTCTGACCAGGAAAAAAACAATGATGTTTTCATTATTCTATATTAAGGAAATTGTGACTATAGTGAAATCCTTTTTGAATGAATAACCAGTATTCTTGACCTTTAATGTGGCACTCAAAGCACACATCATTTATCACATAAATCATCAATAAATCAATAAATCACATCTATAAATTATTCTATTAAATCCTTTTTTATTTCATAAAAAATTATTTTACAGGAAGATTGAAAGGTCTATCTCTAATAACACAACTAAAATATATGGTAAATTAATAATATATAGAGTGTGGCCACTCTATATGGCCACTTATTCTTCTGAACTTTGACCCTGGAACCACAACTTTTTGACATTTCAAAATACAAGTTAAAAAAAGTTCTATTTAAAGGTACATTAGGTAAGATTAGTCTCTTTTTATTTTCAAGATTAGGTCTCTAGGTTAGGTGGGTTCGATATTTGAATGATTCCTGCCCATGTTCACGAAGCTCTGCCTGCAGGATCTTCGGTGGGCCGTACAGTGTCTATAAATGACTGACAGGAGGCACTTCCCAACACAAACCAGCATTCTGGACCTGACATCAGTTCCAAACGGGTTTTCTCAGTGGTTAAACATTTTCTAAGGCCACAGCTTTATCCATTGTTTTTTCCCCCCCACACTATATCTTATTTGTACAAGTAATGAATAAAAAAAATCTAATATTACACCTTTAAATTATTTATATTATTAAAAACTTATTTTATACAGCTAATTTACATTTACAATTTACAATTTGACAGACCTCATACTTTTGTTCAGCATATGATATTAAAATTAATAAGGAATATTAAAATTAATAAGGAATTCTCTAAAGTACTCTAAAGTAGTACAACTCAACTGGCTTGTGGGACAAATTATTTTTCCATGAAACCATTTTTATTGCTTTATCCAATCAAGTCTGTTATTGTGGGGCTTTTTGAACATTTTTAAACTATGTCATGACCAATAAGTTAAGAGACAGGTTTGTCGCCATATTCTGAGAATGACTCTCCTACCCAAGCATTTTTAGGTCAGTATTTTGTGCTATTTTGTCTACTATATTACTGTGACCTTATCAGTAAATGTCTCCATTAAAATATATGAAGAAGTAGGAATCTAAGAAGTGCAAAAGTGAAGTGCGCATGCGCAGAAACTGACTCGGTAGAGCAATTTGTCAGACCAGGACATTAATTCAGAATTAGGAAACAATGTAGCTAAATATATTTTTATACTGATATTTAATATTAAATACGGAAATACACATAAATGTAAAAATACAGGCGCTTCAGTAGAGATTTGTACCGTGAATTAACATATGTACTGTTAAGCATGATTAAACTGTAACAAACAAACTAACAAACAAATAAATAAAGTAAAATAAATCAACTATCATTAAGTCAGTGCGGACATGCCAATTATTTTCGGTACATCCGAGATATTACAAACAATATTAAAATTAAAAATCCTTTAGCGTTAATTCAGATCTATTATCACAGATAATTCAGAACTTTTTACATTTAACAGAAATAGTTTGCGCTAACCAAATTAAATTCAACCTATATATATAAATTTAGAAATATAAAGTAAATGGTAGTAGTCTTCAAAAGTAAACAGAATCGGAATTAAACAGGAAATAAGCTGGCTAACTAACGTGTTTTTAATTATATTTAATAAGATCTTATTTAATAAACGTTACCTTTCCCAGGCAAATCTGACAAGATATGGGTAATGTCAGAGACAGAGTCACGTTCTGGACGTTTTGAGCCATTTCTGAATGCAAGATAAAGCATTAAAGTTACTCTGATCCAAACACAACAAAACAAAACCAAACAAAACTCCCTCCTCTGTAGCGCAGCTGCTACAACTACGGCGAGTCGGAAGGACCAAACAACGCGAGAGCGGATTCGCGAATCAGCGTACTGAGAGTAAATGAGAATGATGCGCATGCGCACTGAGATAGCATTCGTTGCCATTTTGACTCGGGTTTGTGGGATTGATCTGCCATGTTTTCTGCGCAGACTCTTTGTATTATTGTGTATTTTGGTTTAGTTTTGGCAGATAAATAGTATATGGCATGTTGAGTCATCTCCAAACGTATAGAACTTTATAAATGTTTTAAGGTTGCAGAAGCACAACATTCTGGGAAATTAGCCTGATTAAACATGGTAATCCATACAAACATCCAAATATTGCGTGAACTAATACAGAAACACTACCTCCTCTTACTGTATTTTTTTCTAATTTTAGATGCTGCATGTAGTTTGCCTGTTTATTTTAATATTAATTCATTCAGGGTCACTGTGAATCCGGAGCCTATCCCGGGAACACTATGAGACAGGAATAGACCCTGGATGGGTCGCCAGTCCATCACAGGACACCATGCAGATACACATTCACACCCTCATTCACACCTAGGGGCAATTTCACACTCACTTTCAGTAGCTGCATTGTAGGGTCGCAGTATAGTTTTGGAGCCTATCTCAGGAACACTGCGTGAGGCAGTAATACACCCTGGATGGGATGCCAGTCCATCGCAGGGCACCATGTATACACACCTATGCTGCCTTCGCAGTGCCTTGTAAGCGGTAATTTGCAAGTTGTAATGATGTCATTTCCCATCTGGGGATGTTCAAAGTGCTAAGTGTAAAAAAATCTCCACGCCTCCACAAAAGCGTGTGTTTTGTTTGTTCTGTTGGAGCACTTAAAGCTCATAAAAAGTTACTTTAACCACACTTTAAAAGCAATTTAAAAGTAGAGAAGGGGGACTTTACACTGTTCACAGAGTCCGCAGCCATGTTGATTCAACGTCACTCAATAAGCAGGGAAGGAACTGATAGTTTAAAGAAGACTACCCCAAGTTGACAAGTTGGGTCCTGGGAGGTCTAGTGGTTAGGCCTCAACGCTCTCATCGCTGTTGCCTGGGTTCAATTCCTGGCCAGGGAACCGACCCCAGCCACTGGGTTTGTGTGCAACAGTGCGCTCTCAGTGCCGGTCCCAAGCCTGGCTGAAATTGGTGAGGGTTGCATCAGGAAGGGCATCCGGTGTAAAAACTTTGCCAAATCAAATACGCGGACCAATAATCCACTGTGGCAACCCCTAATGGGAGCAGCCAAAAGAGGAACAGCAACCCCAAGTTGAAATTTCAAGTTGAGGGGGCATTTTCGGTGGCTTTTGCTGGTTGTAGACAGGGAATTACAAGTTGCAACTTCACTTCAAACGCAGCATTAGCCAGTCCACACACTGAGAAGTGGGAGGAAAATTTCTGACTCACAAACCTCATGTGGAATTCACAAAATCAACAAATACACAACTAGACTTACATGCCAGTGAAGTGAAAAAGTTGCCTTTCCAACAATGGTAAGTGAGTGCAGAAATGTGTATTTATTACATATAACATTTTCAAGTCATAATAGACACAAAACTAGCAGGAGAAGGAATACTGAACTTAGTAAGCAAGATTAACAAAGTTGGAAGCTGATAGTGCACTCTTAATGCTGTCCAATGCAATTAAACCATAACTCCTACTTATCTGTTAAAACCTGTACAATATTCCCAGTCTGTAGCTATAAATAGCTAGCTAATTTTTTGAATAAACCTGTACAGCTTGCTAGCTGCATAGTTAACATAGTAATGGAATGTTGATGATTTCTTGGTTATTTAAAATAATTATTTCAAAATAACAATATATATATATGTATGTATAATATGATTGAAATATATATATAATCAAAATAAATTTCTTATATTTGGTTTTCCTCAATCTGAAAAAGCAACTAGCAGCAATTAGCAGTTTTAAGGGAAACGTTGGATGGTGAATTCGTATATAGTGTGCACGTTCTGTTACACATATTTTTTTAAAAAAAATTATAATAATAAGATATAGTCAAATTATAACATAGTGCCAACATTTTTTTCATGCATTCTAGCCAAACATTTTGAAATACACCTGTAAAATGATCCATTTAAGTGCATATTAGCATATCAGCTAGCTAGCAACTATATTTAAATTTTGCTAATGTTGGCTATCCAGGTAGTACATTGTAGGCCTTTGTTTTTAATATATTATTAATTCTTTAAGTGAAGGACAGAACGTTCTCCACAGGATGCTTTTGGACATGCTTGGTTGGCGATGCCTCATAACTCATTGTCAAATATCAGGGCAGAATATGCGTGTTGCTTTATTGTCTTATAGTTTAATGGCAGACAGTCTCCGAAGGCCTTGTGAGCTAACTTGATTAGCATTGAACCGTTGGGAAAACAGTGTTGTACATTGATTGGAGCAATGCTGGGACTACATTAGTGTCATTTAATGCAAGTGTTTCATTTCAACACACCGTCCATCGCTGTCTCACTATTAAAATATTGTGTGTAGATGTGCATTATGAAGAGACAAAGCTCCAGGGCATTGCTGTCTTAAAACCATGACCTTTGGCTTTCTTAATATTTTACTTGGCATGTGTGTGTGTGTGTGTGTGTATATATATATCTATATATCTATATATATATCTATATATATCTATATATCTATATCTATATCTATATATATCTATCTATATCTATATATATATATATATATATATATATATATATATATATATATATATATATATATATATATATATATATATATATATGTATACACACTTGCACTTTCATCAAGAAGATACAATGAAATCTGAAATCTGATTGTTTTTAGGTTTGATCTGAGTTATTCTACAATTGTGGTCTCCTAACCATTCTTAGTGGTTAGCATGTTTGCCTCGCACCTCCGGAGTTGGGGGTTCGATTCCCACCTCCGCCCTGTGTGCACGGTGTTTGCATGTTCTCCCCATGCCGCAGGGGTTTCCTCCAGGCACTCTGGTTTCCTTCCCAGTCCAAAGACATGCATTTAGGCTGATTGGCATTTCCAAAATTGTTTAGTGCACAATTGTGTCCTGTGAGCGGTTGGCACCACTTGCAGGGTGGCCCCTGCCTTGTGCCCTGAGTCCCCTGGGATAGGCTCTAGGTGACTCTGTGTAGGATAAGCTTGTTGTGAATTTCATTTGACTTTCAGTATATTATTATTATTATTTCTATTGTTTTTGGTACAAAAAAGCCAAATCACTTATTTGTTAAAACAAAGAAATACCTGTTAATATTTAATGAAAGATAAACATTTTGTCAATTTTATCTAAATCAAAAATAACCTGAATATCAACATTTTTATTTTTATTTATGTACTGGTAACGGCAATGAGAAACACAAGCATGGTGCATAATTTTAAAAAATTATAACAATTATTATGCTTTTTTTTTTTAAATCACACAGAACTATACAACCCTATTATATAAATTACAGCGTGATCTGAAAATGAATTGTAACATCTTTACAAGAGTTAGTAGGATGTTTAGTTTTCACCCAGATTTAAACTTTTTAATAGTATGTCCATTTTAGAGACACAGTAAGTGAATCTATACAAGCCATCAAAGTTAATATTGACCAAAAATATGTCCAAAATCAAGGGAGACCAAAACAGACCAGAAAAATGTCTTTACGTGTGTCAGTGTAATTCAGGCCTGAGCTGCTAATGGGTATCCATGGACGTCTGTGGTCAGTCGTTGCTCACTGAGTATGAATTAGAATTTTTTCTCAAAGTGTCACAACACCTATCATCACATGAGTTAGTATACTTGTATTTTAAAAATCAGGTCAGACCGAGCCAGGTGAAATGAGAGGAGGAGGATTTGTTGAGTCAGTGTTCCTGCTCCTGGTAGTCAGCATTGTCTATAATAAATGAGGCAGCTCAAGTCCGAGTCACACAGCATTACAGTTTACTGTTATCCATTATAACCATTATAACCAATCAGATGTAATGCATCATCAGTGTGAGTTACAGATCACCTCACTCGTTCTCACTACCACTTTAACCAGCCCAAAAGTTATTAACCCAGCTGTGCAAGCGACGCCTGAGGCCGCAGTGTGGTGAAGGGACCCCGGTGTTTATCTTTATTGCTATTCTCACCACGTTGCTCAGAGGTGCAAGTTGGAAAATGTTCAGTAATAAATGGTTTGATATGATTTTAAACACACACAAACTGACTAAATGGTGCCTCTAGAATTTTACCTTCATTAAAAATGTTAGGGTTTATGAATATGCATGATATGCAACTTTGAAACACTCCATATGTCCTCCTGCCATGCCAAATAGCTAACCTGCTAGTTAACAGCAGGAAAACCCTTCAAAATGAACAAAGGCTGTAAAAACTGTTTTTATCACTAACATTACCTAAATTAGGTGAACTCAGAATGGTTTACAAGCAGCATTTTTGTCTTATTAACTTCAACAGAGCGAAAATAGAGAGGGGCTGGTGAGGGAAGACTGTTTATTGCTGCTATAAATGATAACAGGAACTAACATTTTCTGGATGTTCCACAACATTAAATGTAACTATAAACATAAAAATTATGACATATTGTTCTTTGATTAATAAACGTAATTACTGGCAAATTGTTGTGGTGTAAGATGAATAAAACACTTTATTGGAACATATTACTGACTGATTTTTTTTTTTTCTTTTAATGAAAGCATTTTGTCTTTTAAGTGATTAATATAGATTAATCATACAGACATGTGAGTGTTTTTAAAACCTTTATTGTAAGTAGAGATGGCATGATACCATGTTTTCTTTTCTGATACCGATACTGAAACCATGAGTATCAGCTGATATCAATAGCCATCCGATATTGTCTTCTTTAAAAAAAAAACTACTACGCTCAAAAAATTTTAACTGAAGCACTTCACAGTTAAACTCTTTCACACAAAAATCACTTGCATTGTTAAGTATAACAAATATACTAAAATATAAAGAACGAGTATAATAAAGTCAATCGTGTAACGAAAGAAAAAAACAGTCAAGTCTCTTTATATGTAAACATTTCCAGTTCCAAAATACATCTCTTTTAGAAATCCAATTCCAGTCTTTGGCATTTGTTACAGGATCTGATATCTGATATGTTTTCTCTTATATCCGATCCACCCTTTTTTTGCGGATACTGGCCAGATATAGATACTGGGTGCCATCTCTAATTGTAAGTAGTAAGTTGAGCGAAAGAAGCAAAAAGAACGGCTATTGATGTTTTCACATAGGTTTGCGATTGGCTAAACAGATTTTACTTAAGCTCCGCCCTTATTTACCCAGAGGATGTGTTATTTTTGCTGAAGGCACACGGCATTATGGTTAACCGCTGTCTATTACCTCATTCACTACAATGCAAATGTTTTACCCTTTAATGTTCTTCTTCTTTTGGCTGATCCTGTTAGGGGTTGCTACATCAGATCATTGGTCCGCATATTTGATTTGTCATAGTTGTCCTTCCTGATGCAATCCTCCCCAATTTTATCTGGGCTTGGGACCGGCACTGAGAGTGCACTGTAGTGTGTCGCTGTTCCCTGGCCGTGACTCGAACCCGGGCCACAGCAGTGAGAGCGCCGAGGCCTAACCACTAATGTTTTACACTTTAATATAGTGTGCAATTTTTAAATTACGTGTAGAAAACAGTCATTATTTGTACAGAAATAAAGCACAGTGTTGGAATATTCAGTGCTCTTTCTGAAGATCATACCCCCCCACATGCCTCACACGCTGCTTTGTAATCGTTCACTCATTAATTGGTGACAGTCAATTAATCACAGCCGGTTGGGACGCTGTCGCCTATCGATCTCACCCACCGCTCTTATTTTTCATCCCCTAAATGACACGGATCAGCAGAGCCGCCTCAGCCGCGTAATGGAGGGTGGTGGGGCGCATGACCCACGTGTTGGAATGGTGTCTTTACCATTTATGCTGGAAAGGTTTAGACTGCCTTAGAGCAGGGGATTGGGACAGAGCCGAGCTCTGCTGCTCGCCTGACCTTTTCGGCTCGGAGCTTAATCACTGACAAATGCTTACATTAATTAGCCATGC